ATTCTTGTAGATAAAACTAAATAACAGTTGACGTCTTGTTCTTTTCTATAAATGATGTTTGTCAGTAGTAATACAGATCAATGAAAATTTATGTAAAATATCATGCACATATGCACGTTGTCCGGGGTTCGAGTCTTGGCCGGAGCACATCTTTACCTCCCTTAACGGGTTATAATCCCGACAAAGAGGGGAAGTTGGGTATGAGGCTAACAGTCCCACCCCATAAAAAACAAGACTGCTATTTGGACTTCAAAGTTAAATCCTAAGACCCCATGTTCCACTGGGAAAGCAAAATGAATAAAAAAATATCTGATATCATATTATAGCACTTCCCAGATGTATGTCCATTCGCTCATAAAATCCGACTTCATATTCTCAACTGGAGTCGACCAAACAATACTGAAGTAAAACAACTACATTAGATTCTAATGTTTCAAAAATGTCGTTCGGATGAATATCAACAGGCCTAAGGCGTACGCCACGAGACTTTTTTCAGTGACCGCAAATATTCAACATGATTAGGATTTTGATGCGTTTCAGTAGAAGAATTTTCAATCTTCATTAAAGCCCCCACAATTTTTAATGTGTCATGTATACATATGAGGTTAACGATATATCTTGGAGAAGCACGCCGTTTAACAAATAAACTGAACTCAGTAAAGTTAGCGGTAGTCATTTTGCAACTAAAACTCTAACAGAATGGTTAGAATAGTTTTCTAGTTGTTTTAAACAGCCACAACTTTGCAAACTGGCATGAGTTAGACAATCACTGGGAATTGAGTGGAATCAAAGAGTTGTTTCCTCTCAGCTGTTCACATCACGAGTCAACAAGACATCGACCCTAAGATCTTCAGGATACGAGATGAGGGCATCAACTATTAAATTATTTGTATCTACCCTCTAAAATGTTACAATGTAGCACCCACTTCAAGTCGTGTGTGTAAAGCATTCTAGGCTAGAACAAAATAGCTGTTTTAGTGCCATGTCGGTTCTTGGTCAGAGTTCATAAAATGTAAAGCAGTGCACCTTACTTTTCAGTGGTTCACCAAATATTGTCGGTTGGTGATTGCAATCCTTAAAAACTCATATAACGTGAAAAATGAAAATTCAATTTGTGCAAGGACAACAGGTAAATTCAAATTATTATTCATTCACTAACCGTATAATTATTTTTTTAAACAAAGGTTGACTACAGATGGTAGAATGTAATTTTGGACATGACTACAAAGGTGGATGAATCTTTCTTTTTAAAATACAACATACAGCTGTCTATAAGCTAGTTTTTGTAAAGCCGGGATAATCCCCTAATTATCTGTAAGATAAACATCAGGAAAATAATTTTTATTGGTTAAGCAATTTGTGTCACTTTCATCCTTTTTAGTGGTATTAGTAGTATCTAACAGTCAGTAACATCTATTAGTCAGCTTGGATAATTACTTACTACTTTGTGTTCAATCTAAAATATCTAATTCTGTCCTTTAGGTGGGAAATCGTGAGCTTGAAAAGCTCAATGGTAACATCTTTGACTGGGTGACGTAGGTTCGAATCTGAGAAGGAAGGTGGGTTCCTTCAAAGCTGCAGATATGTCTCGCTGCCGAATACTAACTAGCACGGAACCTAGGTCCAAGGCTTCCTACCAATTGCCTCCAATCATCTTATATCAGTAGAAGCATCAGACAGAAATATGTCGCCATATACTCAGTCTTTCAGGAGCATAAATAAAGGGATCCAAAGTTTAGTGTCAACTTGTGATAATCAACATTTTTTGTGTTACTGCATGTATGCATGTTGTAGTATGAACCAAACCCTCTAAAAAGAGCCTTATTGTTTGAGTATTTTCTCTCAATTCAGAATTGACAGCAGAACTATACTAACTAATTTAAAACTCTGATTAAAGACAAGTGTTATCGGATATTGTATGCGATAACATAACTTCAAGTCGTAAGATATTATTCACTTCGAAAGTGATTCAAGTAAAGCTTGTTAAACTCGACATATATATTTGAATAAATCAGTGTCCGATTTATTTAGGTAGGATCAAAAAGAAAATTAACGAAAAAAAGGTTGAGATTTAAAGTACAAGGATTTCTTTCACTAGAAGTTAGAATAAATAGGACTAAATTAAACCTTGTTTTGGACTGCATTTTTTAATTAGTTTACGTTCTGAATGGAACACGGGGCTTTAAGCTTTGAAATTTCATTAGCAGTGTTGTATCTCCTAGCCTTCCTTCATTCCCGAGGATATTAATCACGAGTAAACTAGGCGAGACTTGAGAGTGTGTCGAATGGGAATCGAACGCGGACTTACACGTGGCTGCCATACTATCTACTGTCAGACCACTGACACATGAATTCACAGAACAATATATCCACTAATTTAGTAATTATACACTGCTTAGCAAGAGAACTGGATACTCATTCTAACTTTTTTTGTGATCAGGACTTTATAAAGTCTCACTTGAAAACTATCTAACCTGGTAAATCAAAAGAGTTATCCAGTTGGTCATACCAATACGTGCCGTCTAATTCATAGTTTATTTTTACAGGGTGTGGAAAAGCACAGACTAATTATCGCTATAAGAAAAAAGATGTGCATATCTATCCAATTATTATTACTTTTATTGCTGAGGAGGTATACGCAGTTCGGGAAACTATTGCATTTTGAATAAACTTTTATAGTAATGCTTATGGTTACTCTACTTCCACCGTTTCTTGTTGGTGAGAACTCATGGTGATATATCTAGATTGTTAGTAGGCCGTAATTTCACGCTTATTGCTATGCCTTGTTCAAATGAATTTACCATTACGAAAGACGTTATGGCAGTCTAAAAAAACTGGAAACTGCTTCACCAATTACTACACTTCCTATCAGAAACCTTTTTAATGTGTTATTCATACTATCTGTTGTCCCAAATAACTGGTAAATTTATGTATACCTGAAGTGCTACCAATGTTATGTTTTTCTAAGCTTTTTAGCTAATCATATTCTACCTATCCAGTTTATCTGTATACTCTAAGAAAACTGAAAGAATTGCCATATAAGTGAATTTTAGAATAGTGTTAAAAGCAGCTACACTCCAAAGAAAATCTAAAACAAATGGTGGTTACCACATTTGGTCAGCTATTATTTAAATTCTATGTAGTAAATGCATTCGATACGAATACCATCTTACAAACTAATAGTTACATTAATCAAAACAGTACAATGTAAATGTTCCGCTTCTATGAACAGAAATAACTCAATGACAGATAAACTATTTCTTTTTGCCCTGTTCTGTGGACATCTAGACCAGATTCAAAATCATTCATAATTCTACAAGTCTGCAAAATACAACAGCCCTTGTGACGGCAAGACATTATATTCATTTGTCTTTCAGTTCATTACTTTAGCCGAAACATAAAAAATGCCTGTACTATCTGACGATACCAAATTTATTCTATAACAGTGCGTGTACAACACGAAAAAAAAGAAAAGTTACTGCATTCCGTAAAACAACCAAGTCAATCATAATGCAACCAACTGTGTGTTTATACTACTAAATCATATGACTAAATACATAATAATAGTTAGCAATGGAACACACCAGGCTACCAAGTTTATGAAAAAACACAACTTGATTTTAATCCTTTTCAGTAGAAATGATAGTGTGAAAATTTGCCTTTCAAATGACAGAACATCAGAAACAAGTGAAATTAAAAGTAAAAATGAGTCAGGCACCAATTATCACCGCGTGAGTACAGCTTTAATAGACTTTCTGTTTTACTCAGCTATAATCACAGGAAATCTATTTCTTATCTTATCTACTGGCGTCCCTTTAAGATAAATTTTCAAACGCCTAAATATTTTAAATACAAATAAATCGGTTATTTTGAGATTATGAGTTTTGTGGCGCAATGCCACGAACTGGCAGGAATTGGGAACTACAGGTCGCTAGAATCAAACTCATTAGCTGAATAGTGGATGAGCTGGTCTCGTAACCTAGCGGTGCTGGATTTGACACTGTTTAGAGTTTGTGGTGAGCATTGATGAAGATTCTCAAATTTGGACGAAACGGCTGTCCAATGCTCATCCATTTTCAGTGATTCGCTAACCGTCGTTGGTCTATGTGGTGATTTCTAATTTGAGACAGATTTCTAGCCAGTTGTCAAGCTAGTAATAATTCCAAGGTGTGTAGAAAGTAGCATTTGAAAAACGACGTTATTCTGTCTAAGATCCAACTTTTAATGGAATTTACCATTTGTTTTGTTAAGGTAATATAATACATGAATGCTGAAATACAGAGAATTGTGAATCCGACAGTGAACCGTCATTAGATTTTAGAATAATCCTAATGAAACTTTTACACCTAACATTCAAGTGATGACATCAGATGGATTTTATGAGTTACTAGTGTGGTAAAACAACCATGAATCATATTTCTAGTGCTGGATTTAGCCTCTTAAAAACTCACTTTTAAGTTATTCAGCACACATGAGTCGCTATCTTTTCTCTAGTTCATTACCAAGTTGGTGAGCCAGGGTAGAAAACTATTTATTATATCGGCGTTAGTGGTAAAATCACAAATTGAGAGGATACAAAGGAGCCAAACGATTCTTAGTCTTGTAAAACAAATGAGACTATTAAGCAATTGTGATCTATTTAGTATGACTTGACAAAAGGACTAGCGACACCATCTAGATATCCTTCTTACCTTCTTTCAATTACCTAAATTAAAAAGCACTTTACATGAATTCTTGATGAAATATAAAAATTCATGAAAACTCTGAGATTCACATAAATGCAGAATATCGAGGAATAGAAAACTCGTTGGCAAAAGAAACCTGCCACACAACTTATTACTTTATACTTGAATGAACATTACGCTGGTTGTATTTAATGTGGCTTGAGTTAATCCTTAGTATCAGAGTCCAGCAGTCTTGTTGCTGAAGACAAACTTTACAGATTTTGGAAAAAAAAGATTGATTTAAAAAAAAGGTAAGACTTAAGATTGAAGACTTACCAGGTGTAGGCGCACATTCATTTGTGTCTGCAATATGATTAGCTTCCAGTGTACTAAGTCTATTTGGATTCCATGACCAATAATCATCTTCTAGGCTTAGACTACTACCCTCATCTGATCCATTCTCTTCATCTTTATGTTCACGTAATTTTCTAGGTAAGAAAGCATCATCATCAATATATGGAACGTCATAAGTGCCTTCAGGCATGCCTCCTTCTAAACTTCGAACACTTATACTCTGATCCACTTTAGATGGTGTTACAGAGTCAGGATATAGATAATCATCATTAACTGATGGTTTTGGCTGCAGACGCCGTTTACGTTTGAATTCATTTCGCTCCAGGGTAACAGCTCTTTTCTTAGCATCTCTTGTTGTATCTATATACGAGTATCTGTTTTCATTGATTTTAGATTTATTGAACCTATCTAGTGTTTTAGTTCGTCTTGATCGACTGTCTAATTTCGTTTGTCTGTCAAACGGTAAATATTTAGCGATAAGTTCAGCATAACGCCGTTCAAATTCTGTTCTCTGATCCCCTTCTGAATTTAAACTGATTTCATCAATATCAGTGGTTTGTTTTGTAATTTTTGCTTTCACTTCTGTTCCATTCAATGGTGCAGCTGCCTCCAATTTATTAAAAGACTCCTCAATACTAATAGGAGTTTTGCTGCCGTGGTCACCATTTACTATTGCATAATTTGGTTCGACAGTTGTATTCAATAAAACTTTTTCTTGGACACTTTCATTAATAGATTCATATTGCTGTTCATTATTTTCATCTGTTAAAAATTCTTCAGGTAATTGATTGTAAAATTCTTCATTATTCTGAATGTGTGCAGTTAGCTTAAAGGATTCTGGACTATCTTCAAGAAGCTCAGCCGTTAGTAACTGATCATTTACATAATGGTCAGTGGCAAGTAATACTGCACTGTTGTCAGGAATATTTTCTTCGAATATTTCCTGTATCGATTGCTGTTCTCTGCCAATCGGAATGATTTGTTCTTCGGATTCTTTGTTATAAATGAAATCAGCATGAGTAGTTGTTGGTATCACTGCTTCTTGTATATACGCGACATCATCATCTCTAGAATGGCTTAGTTGTTCTTCTGAATTTTGTATTAGCATCTCTGAAGCATTATTTTCACTGACGAATGTAGATAAACAAATGTTGTCTGCACTGTGTTCATTAGTATGCTGAATACTCTCCACTGAGGAAATGATATTTTCATCTTCAACTACGTTAGAACTTTGTTCGTTTTCTCTTATCTTCTCATGACGTACTACTTCTGAAGAGACAGCATTCGGAAGTTCTTCTTCTATGTCTTGATTGCGGTCAGGTGTTTCCTGCATTTCAGTGACATGTGTCTCAACTGAAGGAGATTCATTTCCCTCCATGCAGATTACTGATTCTTCAATAGATATGGGTTTTGACTCACTCAGTATATGTGATTCCTCATACGGATCTCTATTCTGTTCTTCTTCATACTCCTCCGTATTTTCAACTACAGTGTATTTGATGTATCTGCGGGAATAAATGGTTCCTCAACATTTGTTCCGTCCACTTCGGTAACTTTTTCAGATGAAGCACTGTCTAATTGTATATCATTACTACTGTCCACTATATAGTCTTGTTGGCTAACAAAGTGTTCGACATCTTGAGAGCTTGTATGAAGCAAGAAGCCGCTGTTATCGTTATTAGGAGAAAAATCGTTTGTTTCGTAGTGAATTTCATCTTCCTGAGGTACAGAATACTCGGATGCTTGTGTTTGTATTTCCCCGTCATCATGTTTAACTTCTTCATGCTCAAATAAGTCGTCAGATGGATCATCCACTTTCATTTCTGAGTTGCTTATCTTCAGTCCTTCGAACTCCTGGAGTGTTTCATCAGTTTTTTCTATTGTCTTGTTCATATCAGCTTCGATAGAATGTTTCTCTGAAGAGCCAAGACTGCCTGAGTGGAGACTATTTTGACTATCTTGAGTGCAATCCGTTGAGGGAGAAACTCAACCTCACTAGTTAAGTGTTCTCCTGTCTCAGGAGCTACAGTTTCCCTAGGGGTGTTTGTTGCTGAAATCGTAGATGCACTTTCTTGTTCAGGTGTTATGTCGTATACCTGATCTACATTTATGTCTGTATCATAACTGCGGACTATTTCAATACTATGCTCCGGTTTTGCTTCACTTTCTGGCACATCATATTCGATCGTGATTTTAGAACTCTTTTGTTTCACATCTATTGAAGACACTTCGTCATCTAAGGTATCTGCGCTTTCATTATTAGATGAGGTAAGATATATGCTTCTATGGACACCTTCGGGATCGCCTTGTTCAATAAGGTCGTCACTGTTGTTTGAAAATTGAGCTATTCTTTCATTTTCAAGAGTAATGACCCTTTCAGTAGGCGTTTCGGATGATATTTTATTAGAGCTTTCATCGCTGACCTGATCAGAAATGTCTAATTCCTTTTGAATTATCACAGGTGTGTACAGATTCTCGTGAGAAGCATTTACGCTACGCTGAGCATCTACGCTGGTTTCTTCTTTGCCCACCACACTATCAGCACTCTCTTCGAAGGTTCCCGCAGTCTCTATCTCTATGCTAGACTTCCTTGATGATAGTGTCAAATTCTTCTCAGGATCTGTAGAGTTATTGTCATGAATCTGAGAACTATTCACCTCCTCCATTATTTGTCACCAGTTATTAAGGAGTTAAATTCTGTGTAGTACTTGTGTTTCGTTAGTCCACTAGTCGAATTTGTAAATAAAATCCGGTTCAGTATAAATAATTCAAATAAAATTATATATATATTCTACAATTAAATTATTCCACTGGTTTCAGGCATGTGTATATAATTCCAGTTTAAAATATTTCACATGAATAGGTTTTATAAACATTAAGAAACTAGTGATAAAAATCACTAATCTGTCAATAATACTAGTGAAAACAATAAATAATAATAGTGATAGTATGTTCCAAATATATTTAATTAGTAGTAGTAATAATAGTAATAGTAATGATCCATTGGAATAGTAAATTTCATTTTTGTGTGTGGTTTAATCATTTTCATTTCTCTGTAATCTGATTGGTTCACTATTCAATGGCCATACGAATTGAAACATTGAAGAGAGCATGCTGTTTTTCTATTGTATTAATTAATACATAACATGTATATATGTTTCATTTTTTGATGAATTCTACGCCTGATTCCATAATTCATATTTGATTGTTACACTTCAAGAGGTATATTCTGTTATTTTTTTTAAATCAGACAAAAATTAGCGAATTTCCCGCGAGCTTAACAGTTGGATATTGCTTGATAATTTTTACATTGCTAACCGAAGGATCAATAAAATGGCTTTTTAAAAAAGAACTCTTTCATCCAATCAGAACAGAGCAAATCCTCTTTGACTACTCTTAACAATATTATAACCAATTAGGATGCTGTAAAAGCGTTTGTCTGAAGTTGATTGTTAAGGAATACTTGTTTGAAGATATCACTCAGCTTTCTACCATTAATACGTTCAAATCATTATAAAATTACTTAACATAATCCCAGTGTGTCTACGAAATTCATGTCACAGTTATCAAGCATTTTCCTGAAATATCTTCTTTTGATTCTTTAAACACACTTGGATTGTTTTAATTAATTTTATAATGAAACAATATAAATCTCCATTAAAATTATTTCAAGAAATTTGCAATACCAGTGGCCTGGATATTTCGAATACCTACCAGTGGTATTTTTAATTCCCCTGTCTTCCTAGTGAAATATACGGCTTCAAGAGTTGAGCTATGAAACTGGGATTCATTTTACACAGTTTCAGTGGGGGGGGAGGGAGGCAGGGGGCGGAGGATGGCTGACCTCATACTTAACTTTCCTTCTTTGCTGAGTTTACTCCCTACCGAGTAGTAGATAAAGTTTAGCAATGCGTCAGCAGATAATCGAACTTGGACAATGTGCTTGGTTGGCGAATGTTGTGCCATTCAACCACTGAAGCACTTTAAATGTTTGGCACTCAGTAACTATAAAATAAATGTGCTATTTTTTATAGCACAAACAACATGCAATCTAAATCTTACTGAAAAGTTCCTGAAGGCAAGGCAGTATCTCATCGAAAAAGACACTGCAAAGTGTTCGCGCTATGTCATGAATTGGCAGAAGTTAGAATTCGTTTGCTGGCCATTGGATCGGGTCCCAGTGGCTTAATGGTCTACGAGCTAGTTTGCCTTGTAACCAGATGGCCCTGGGTTCGAACAGTGGCGGTGGGTGCGCACTGATGAAGAGTCCCAAACTAGGCTAACGCAGCCGCTGTTCAGTACTCCTAGATGGTTTTCCAATGGTTCCCAAACTGATGTCAGCTCATGATGAAATCCTTCAACCAATGAAAAAATATTCCTGCAAAATCAGTACTTGAATAAAATGTAGTCTACATGACTGTATTGTCTGTGTGTAGATCAGTCAACTGGTAATGTGGTTAAAACATTTAAGAGCTTAAACCCAAAAGTGTAGCCTTCTATAAGTAGCAACAACTGTAAAACACGTTTTCATGGTGAAAAATAATGTTCATAAAGGAACTGATAGAAAAAAACTTCTTAAGTTTCATGAAATACTCGCCAGTCATTGCTTGTTGTGATTTGCGAGTCTATTATTAAACCCGACGAAATTCTTAACATACAGCAAATTATTTTAACACAAGTCTACACTTGTCAATCTAGGTGTTTCAAGTTTTGGTCACCGATTAACTGAGCCAGATCGTAGTAGCTGAGTGGTCTACGAGCTTGCCTTGTAACTGGAAGGTCTTTGATAAGTACTGCTAATGAGCATTTAATAGAGTAATCTGATATTTCCAGGTCTTCCTGTATCTTGTTCATTTCTAAAATATACTTCTAACCTTCTAAGTCGAAAAGTCAAGAGAATCTGATATCAGCCACTTTCTACTTTTGAAGAGTCTTATATCTTGTTTTCAACCCATTCTTCTTTATTACCCCCTTTTAATCTTTCCTGGACTACTTAAGAACGATCTAGTTACATTACAAATGGAATGAATACCTGTTAGCAGAGCGAGCTGGGTGTCACCAAACCAACTCGCCAATACTGTCATGAACTGGCACCTGAACTCATACGAGAAATCAGCAAATATTATCTTGTCGGACTCTGAACACTCTTTTAACATGCAACTGTCCCAAAGAATTTCGTTAGGTATCAGTAGAAGTAATTAAATGTTCGGGTGACGAAGTATAAAAACTCATCAGTACTTTATTTGACGTGAGTTTTATGTGATGATATGATGAGAAAAGTGTTTGGCACGAAGCTTCTTACAACAAAACGGTAAAAAAACTATAATTTTTATTCCTCCTATCATCAATATATTGTTGTCACCATTCCTATTAATTTATAATTTTAACTTCTTACTAATGTTTCATCGATATTATTAGTAATGCAAATATTTCTGTTAATTTCTCTCCCCTGAATGTGTAATACTAAGAGAAAATACGGTATAATGTCGCAATATGAGCTGAGAGATCCATATGATATCAGATGTACTGTCTATTATAAAGTTATTAATAGTATGTTTATTTTTCCGCGAAATTTTGATAAGGTACAATCAACCAACTAACCAAGAGCCGATCGCTCAACAAATATGCAGGAGAAAATGGAGTTGGATAGGGGCATACATTGAGGAAACTGTCCAATGACATCACGCCCCAGGCCATCGCTTGAGTGGAGTCCTAATGGGAAGAGACGAGTAGGTCATCCTACGGAGACATGGAGGAGATAGTGTTAGGAAGAGATGAGAGAATTTGGTCAGTCGTGGACCCAGCTAAAAAAGATGGCTTAAAAGAGAAGAAAGTGGAGATGTGTTGTCGAAGCTCTATGTTCCAATCGGAACCCGACGGAACAATTATTATAATAATAACAACAATCGGCTAACATTCTTAGTATAAAATGAATCTTCATTGAATCTGTTAACCATATTTACATTACTACATACCAATAACAAGTTTATTTATGTAAACAAAATAGTAAGGTACAACTGTCTGTAATATAATACACAACAGTGTTTTAGTTATTCAATGCATAAACCAGCTTATTTTGATTTTTATTATTCTTAAAGACACTCATTATGCTCATGGTGTGAATAGCCGCTTGCATAATGAATAAACTGATTACAAAAATGGATGCAAGAGCACCTTACACTCATTTTATTCCTTACCTGGAAGTTTCAGGAGCGTTGGTGTTGCTTTCAGGGAGTGGAATTTCTAGTCTCAAGTCCAACCTCCCCTCTCTTACCATCTAACTATCAACAAGTAAACTTTGAGAATCTTGGGAGTGCGTTAGTCAGATGTCGAATATGGATCATGTGGATGGTTAGCGAACATCCTACCACTGAACCACCGACGCATGGATATTTTGCCTGCTAAGTCTCAACACCTGCAGTTCACCGGAATAAGATTAAGTCATTCACTATATTCAACATATTACTCGGAAATATGAGTAATTCTACTGAATAATCTATGGCCCACTAAGCGAAATGTCCCGAAAAATCTTGTTTAGAGTTTCTAAATACTTTGGGTTCATTTTATATTATTTCTTATCGATTCAGGCATAATGGGTGCTCAAATTATTCCAGAAATTTCCCTAAATTTCTAATCTGGATATTTATCATAGATTCTGCATGTTGAAAACGTATGATTATTATACCTCGGAAATAATTAACAATCTTGATGCATAGCATCTAGTTTTGAAAAACTTAGATTAAGTAAATAAAAGATAAGTTTTAAAGCACCTGGTAAAAGTACTATAAGCAAAATGTTTTTCAATGTTTGTGTCACCTCATCCATTCAAAAATTCTGACCGTCTTACAGTTGAAACTCTCAAATCGTGGAGAAATCTAAAAGCTCACTTCAACAAATTGAAGTATGCGCGAAGATGTTGCCTAGTAGAGCAATGAAAGCTTCGCAAATAGACTATCCATCTCAGAGAACACAACCACATCCAAATCATCCACTTGAACTACAAACCTTCTCCATCATATCTAAACCCTCATCAGTTACAATCTTAGAAATCATGACAACCTAGTTGCTGTAAAGCATTATTAGACTTACATGCGGTACAACTTCTTAAATAAGTTTACAGTGATTTAGAATAGGCTACCAGGTAATGTGCGTGATGCAAACACACACCCAGTGTTAATCTCCTGAGTCACCAAACTGCTCAAAGATGAAAATGCACTCCTGTGTCTCACTCTGACACCCTCTTTTTCACCCTACATACATATTTTAACTTCATTAAACGTATAAGTTACCGCAAACTCCAATTATAAATCCTAATATTATTGGAAGGTTATGATAAATATTTCTACACAGGACATTAATATTAGTTCACACATAATATAAAAGTTAGCATAACAGGACTAGTTAGTCAGCTAGTTAGTGTACCAAAATAATCAGTTACTTTCACAGAATATATTTATATATATATATTTATAAATTCCTCCTTGAGGACTCCTCCACTTGCTTTCTTCTGTGCTGCTGTCGTTTGTTTTCTTTTCTCTCTCTCTCACACCATTTTAGCTTCTATTTGACTTTTTGAATGAGAATAAAGAATGTAGAGAGTTGACCACTCACAATGACAAATGATCTGTAAACATCACTAGTCCATATCCTACAATTGCCTCGTGAA